ATAGATAGATAGATAGATAGATAGATAGATAGATAGATAGATAGATAGATAGATAGATAGATAGGTAGGTAGATAGAGATAAGTAGAAGTAGATCACTGCCTATCTTTAGGGAGGGGCAGGGTCTCGTAAGCCCTCCCTCCTCCTATGACATAATGCTGATAGGTCTTGTACAGGTCTTGTCAAGAATGCGATGGCATGAAGGCAGCTTTCTACAACACTTCCGCACTGCCACACACTGTCCACTCCTTCACAGTGTTCCCTGAGCCATGGAGGGCGTGGCGCAGACTTCCCACCTAGGGCTGAGCATCAGCTGGCACCATTCTCAGCATCTGCTCGGTCATGGGTCTGCAATGTCTCTATGCATGGTAAAGAGATGCTCCTCTCAAGGCCACAGCAGTGCTAATCTCTGAGTGAGTTTCTCCCACAGCTGCACTGAGGCGAGGAGTGGAATTCTCAAATCTCTCCTGTTACTAAACCCCAGGAAATTCTAAATCCTTGAACAATGACTGTGCTGCTGTCTATCAGCCTGTTCATTATACCTAAAAATGATATGTCAAAACCAAAGAACGTCCACTTTTTTCAAAATTCCTTATGTACAGTACAAACCATACTTTCAAGACAAAATGCCAAGTGAAGCTTTTATTTCTTGTATATACAAATTAAAACACTTATTATTAATAATGGGGTTTTACTGAGACAGTATGTCCTAGAATATTTTTAATTGTGATGTTATGGCAATAGATCTAAATTAAACTTTTCAGATTTTGCCTTGTAAAAATATAACTCATGGCCACAATTATTAGTGGACTCTCATGCCCTTCAAAAAAGCTGGGTTCGATGAAGCTCTGTCCTTCCTACAAACAGCCCCAGGTTTTCTTTAATTTGTTATAGATATAGAACACTGCAACTCTATTTCTTCCATGCTAGCAAATTCTAACACTACAAATGCATCTCTACTGAACAAAAGATCAACCAATAAATATATTTCTTTTTTTACATTTTTTTATTAATTACATTTTATTCATTTTGTATCCCCCTATAAGCCCCTCCCTCCTCCCCTCCCGATCCCACCCTCCCTCCCCTTTCTGCATGCATGCCACTCCCCAAGTCCAGTGATAGGGGAGGTTCTCTTCTCCTTTCTGATCTTAGTCTATCAGTTCTCATCAAAAGTGGCTGCATTGTCCTCTACTGTGGCCTGGTAAGGCTGCTCCCCCCTCAGGGGGAGGTGATCAAAGAGCAGGCCAATCAGATTATGTCAGAGGCAGTCCATCTTCCCATTACTATGTAACCCACTTGGACACTGAACTGCCATGGGCTACATCTGTGTAGGGGTTCTAGGTTATCTCCATGAATAGTCCTTGGTTGGAGTATGAGTCTCTGGGAAGTTCCCTGTGTTCAGATTTTCTTGTTCTGTTGCTCTCCTTGTGGAGACCCTGTCCTCTCCAGCTCTTACTATTTTCCACTTCTTACATAAAATTCCATTCACTCTGCCCGACAGTTGGCCATCAGGCTCAGCATCTGCTTTGATAGTCTGCAGTCAGAGGCCCTCTGTGGTATGTTCCTAGTTTCTTTCCTGTTTTCTTCTTCTGGCTTTCAGAGGCCCTCTGTAGCAGGTTCCTAGGTTGTTTCCTGTTTTCTTCTTCTTCTGATGTCCATCCTCTTTGCCTTTCAGGATGGGGATTGAGCGTTTTAGTTAGGGTCCTCTCTCTTGCTTAGTTTCTTTAGATGCACAGATTTTAGTGGTTTTGACCTATGTTGTATGTCTATATGAGTGAGTATATACCGTGTGTGTGTTTTTGCTTCTGGGACAACTCACTCAGGATGATCCTTTCCAGGTCCCACCATTTACCTGCAAATTTCATGATTTCCTTATTTTTCATTGCTGAGTAATATTCCATTGTGTAGATGTACCACAATTTCTGCATCCATTCTTCAGTTGAGGGGCATTTGGGTAGTTTCCAGCTTCTGGCTATTACAAATAAAGCTGCTACAAACATGGTTGAGCAAATGTCCTTTTTGTGTACTTGAGCCTCTTGGATATATGCCTAGAAGTGGTATGGCATATATTTTTTAATGTTTTTATCAACTATAGCTTATTCACATTGTATCCCAGCTGTAGCCCCCCTCCTTGTCCCCTCCCAATTCCACTTTCCCTCCTTCTTCTCCTCCCATGCTCCTCTCCAAGTCCACTGAGAGAGGAAGTCCTTCTCCCCATCTTCCTTTCAGGTCTATCAGGACTGGCTGCATAGTCTTCCTCTGTGGCCTGGTAAGGCTGCTCCTCTCTTAGCGGGAGGTGGTCAAAGAGACAGCCACTGAGTTCATGTCAGAGACGGTCCCTGTTCCCCTTACTAGGGTACCCACTAGGAGACTGAGCTGCCATGGGCTACATCTCTGCAGGGGTTCTAGGTTATCTCCATGCATGGTCCTTGGTTGGAGTATCAGTCTCAGAAAAGACCCATGGACCCATATATTTTGGTTCTGTTGCTATTCTTGTGGAGCTCCTATCCCCTCCAGGTCTTTCTATCTTCCCCTTCTTTCATAAGATTCCCTGCCCTCT